TTGTAGCCCTTGGACAATAATGGATCACACAGCTGACACCAAAGTAATCTTTCTTGACTACCCTGTGCTTGACAAAGAGATGGGGCAAATTATCCTTGATTGTTTTAATTATTCAAACTCTGATTTGTCTGACAGTTACAAAGCATGGCAAGAGGGAGGGAGTGGACGAAGCAAATCTCTGATGCGGATGGGGAAGAGAATCAGGAAGCCATCCCCATCCCAGGGGGGGAAGGGTTGTGTTTGTGGGTATATGCTGGCCCAATACATTTTGGCACCTAATGCGAACCACAACATGCCTCTGCCTACCCCCTCCAGGGAAGAAGGAGTGAGTGAATATCTACATTGGGAACAAGGGAGGAATAAAGATCTCTGGGGAGGTGGGGAAGGGAAAGAGGAGACCAGCAGTGCCTCCTGTTCACCAAGAGGCCACTGTGGCGCTGGCATTGGGGGAGGCTGCGAGGAGGTGGCGCTGCCACCATGGCAGCAGCAGCAGCAGCAGCAACAATGCATTCCTTGGAGGCTGAATCTACGGCCCCTGTGGAGCTTGTCACCTGAGGCAGTCACCTCACTTTGTCACATGGGTGGGTGGCCCTGTGTATGTGTGTATGTACACACACAGACAGAGAAACAATCCTGCCATGTTCCATGTGGGGAGGTGCAGATTTTCTGGCTCCTTAGCATCCTTGGATGGTGCAGAAGGTGGTGGTGACTGGGGATCACCGTGGAGTGGAATCTCACACTCCAATCAGCGCAAAAGCACCAGCTGAGTCATAGGTTTTTTTTGGGGGGGGCCTCCCCTCTAGTGGGGGAGGGTGATGCATCTAACCTGATTTTTTCCCTATGACAGAAAGCTTCACCTTGGAGCATGATATCTGAGAACTTCCTGCCATCTTCCCTAGCTTGGCTCCCCAGTGGCTGGCCTGGGGCTGGAAGCTCCCTGTCTTGTATCCCCATGAAAGAGTCCTGTGTGACTTAGAAGCTTGCTTGCAGCAGACTCTGGCTGGCCCCAGTGTTTTACCAGGTGCTCTGCAATTATTAGAAGAGGCCACAACACGTTCAGTGCCCCCCTCCCCTGAAAGATGAGAGAAGGTAGGGTCTGTTGGTGATACTGTCTCTGTGCTTCTCTCCTCGCCTGCCTGCCTGCCCCCAACCTTTCCCAGCCCTTCGAAAGAAAAGCTCTTCCAAGGGCAGATTTAATGAAAGCCATAATTATCTGGCTCTCCCTCCTTTCCTGGGCAGTTGCTCAGGACAATGGGGCGCATTGAGCGCCAATGGCATCTGGGCTGAGCAGGCTGAGCATATAAGAGGGCTCCCTTGTGCTGACCATCTGTGGAGCTGCATCTTGGAGATCTGGCTTGGAGCAAAAGTCGGGGGGGGGGGGAGCTAGCAGCAATAGGAGAGGAGGTGGGGGCTCCTTTGCAAGAGATCCTAAAACCAAGTTCTGGATGCCCCCTGATCACAGCCTTGGCTCTATTGCGTGAAGGGGCTTCTGTGTCTGCAGTCTTTCTCCAGGGCTTGTGAGCTGGGTTGCTGGGCAGCGCGAAGCTTTGGAAAAAGACCCTTGGTCCTTTCTGGCAGCCTCCTTCCCTTCTGGACGTGGGTGGGTGGGTGTCAGAGGGAGAGCACCTTAAATAGGGCAATCAAGAGCATCCCATCCATTGCCACGGTGTTCTGTGTGCGTACAGATCTACATGTGTTTATGGGCTGCCTGTCACCCACCGTTATGCAGGAAATGGCAGGGGCAGCCGGGCCAAGAAGGTGCCCCGCGTGTGAGGCAGAGCAGGAGGAAACCTCAGTCGGAGACGCACATCAGGAAACCAGCTCAAGATCCCATTTTGGCTGCGATGGGAAATATTTTGGATCAAAAGGGATTTATTTTAAACAGTTATGAAAGGGTTTGGTGGTTCCTTGCAAAGGAGGCTGCATACATAGCATACTTTCAAAGCCCATTCAAAGTGCATTTCCCACCCTCAAATTCTGAGCACTGTCGTTTGTTAGGGGTTGCTGGGGATTTTAACTCTGTGAGGGGTGAACTACAGCGCCCAGGGGATTCGCTGAAGGAAAGAGGGTGCTTGGAATGTACCCTACGCAGAGTGTATCCTGCCATACAATGGGGTGGGGAAAAGCAAGGACAGATTAAGACTTTTAGAGCCCCTAAACATTGTGAAGATTAGGGTGCCCCGCATAAGTCATTCAAAATAAAAAGCAACACTAAGACATAAAATAACATTTTATTGGTTACATTTCATCCTGTCTCTTATCTCAGCCGGCTGAAATTTTAAAAAACAAATTACACAGTGATATATATATATATATATATATATATATATATACTCAGAAGAATATATCAGTAATAAAACTTTGATTACTTATTGCTGCGCATGAGAGGATCTAAGTTCCTTGCATTATTTTGATCTACTCCCCCTAGGTCTATGCTTTTTTTTTAAAAAAAAAATCAAATTACCGTATTTTTTGCTCTATAAGACGCACCAGACCACAAGACGCACCTAGTTTTTGGAGGAGGAAAACAAGAAAAAAAATATTCTGAATCTCAGAAACCAGAACAGCAAGAGGGATCGCTGCGCAGTGAAAGCAGCAATCCCATTTGCTGTTCTGGCTTCTGTGATAGCTGCACAGCCTGCATTCGCTCCATAAGACGCACACACATTTCCCCTTACTTTTTAGGAGGGAAAAAGTGAGTCTTATAGAGCAAAAATTACGGTATTTTGAGGCTCTTTGCTGGTGCTCTGAGCATGTGTTTAGCCCACCTATTGGGTAATCCAGCACTGGGGGAAAGAGTTTGAAATATTCTTGTTTATTGGCTTTTGAGAGTAAATGGAGCTGTGGAGGGGAAAGAGCTGAGGGCTGGGAGAAAGCCGATTGGCTGTGGCAATGCATGGAGAAAGTGATGTTTCTAGTCCCTGGGATTAAGGCAACAGGTCTCTTTCACATTCAGCAACACTGCAGCCAACACTTTGTCAATTGCTTGTGCAACTGCCTTGACATGAGTGACGTTTAAGGAATCCAGCCTTTGCAAATTCCAAGGCAAATGGACTTGATCTGCACTTTCTGGGCTAATGGGCAGATCATAACTTTAATAATTCACTCTGTTTCACACTTCCCTAATATACCAGTAAAGTCTTCAGCTCAAAAATATATATCAAAATACATTTAGAAATGCATTATTCAGCTATGATATGTCTAAAATATTTATTTATTTTGCATGCATATTTCAATTTGTGCATATGTTAAAACCTTGCAAATTAAGTAATGTGGAAATGCAGATGTGCAGATGTGCATATCTGCAGAGTTATGCAGATGTGACAGACATTGGCTGTAAATAAATAGATGTGTCCCTTTCTCCCTTCTCATGAAGGTGAGATTTTTTTTCAGGATGGAGGAGCCTTCCCAAGGCCCCTCATCTTGTGCTCTGTTGCTCTGTTGTGCTGCTGCAGGTGGGGAGGGTTTGTGGTGGTTGTTCCTTCCCCCCACCCTCTCTCTTTTAAAAAAATTATGTATTAGTTAAAGAGGGAACCATTATGAATAGAATTCCTTTGTGGCACAAATTGCCAATAGTTTAATTCTGAAAAAAATGCCCAACAAACAGAACCCGGATGCTTAGGGACAAAAATAAGTGGCTCAGGCTCCACATGTGTCAGTGAGGAGAAGAAATTGGAACTGCAGAGGCCCCAGGGAGGCATGGCAGGAGGTGCCCGTGGAGAGCAAGGGCCGCTGCCCTCAAGGGACTGGCAAAAAGGGAATGGCAGCAATGCAAGGTGCAGAAGACCCAAGGAGAAGCTCCTAGAAGGGAAGCTCAGGGAGGCTCTGGAGTCTGAAGCAGCAGAGGGCAGCGGAACAGTCAATGTGAAGGATATGGAGCATCTCAGCTGAAAGCATCTCAGACCTGAGAGCTTTCAGCTTCATCTCCATCACATCCCCCACCGCACCTGTGCCCAAATCCAGAGAATGGAATCTGCCCATGGAAAAGGGATTGTGCACCAAGAGAATTCCATGCATGGAGGGGGGGCAGTGAGTGTGTGTGGAGAGAACCAGTCTGAACCAGTAAGCTAGGAATGCCCATGGTGAGGCCCTCGCATATATGGAGGGTGGGAATTCACCTGGGCACCAGCTTGTGCAGTGGGAACCCCAGGCTGCTGAAAGGAAGCATTATGGTAACCCTGAAACCTTCTGCTTCTGCAGAGGGTGGGAGAGGAACAGAAGAAATGCACAAAAATGTGTGTGTGTGTGTGTGTGTGTGTGTGAGAGAGAGAGAGAGAGAGAGAGAGAGAGAGAGAGGGAGAACTCCTACAGCCAACCTTGCTATAAAAACGGAAGAGAAGAATGGCACAATTCTCTTCAGAGCATCGTCCAACATTTAAGAAAATTTATCTTAACATTTGAAACATCAATCAAAACAAATAAAACAGGGAGCAGCTCAAAACCACCTATAAATTATTGTAATATTTGCAAGAAGAACCACATCTTAGGTAAACATGTACAATGTAAAGGTTCTGTCTGCCGGACCCAAGTGCCCACGGGGATGGGAAGGGTCCTTTGGCAGCCTCTGGAAATGGGGCACTTTCTTGGCTCTTGCAGGGTCCCCCCCCCCATCTAACTGCTTGATTCACAAAACCGCAAATGCCACCAGTCTTTTGCTCAGTCCTAGAGAGGGTCTTCAGCAGTCTGATGTCACCTGGAACATGGCATGGCTGCAACCAGCTACTCAGTGCCTGAGCAAACGTTTGGCAGGGCCAATTCTCGCTCCCACAGCCATGGGTAAGACAGGTTTGCATTTGTTTTCATTAGTGGCTTGCTAAAGTATTTATTAGCCATTACATCTCAATTGCAAATTGATGAGGTTTCCATATCTCCGTATGCAAATATAATACGTCTGGCTCGAATATTGATGGACTGGCAGGAGATCAGGCTAATTCTCATAATCCCTGGGAGCCCATCCTTGAGTTATTTGCATTGGAGTCTCCCTACGAAAGACCACCCACTTTTTCCAGCAGCGCTTCGGCCCTTGGATGTGGCCAGGCAGGAGCAGAGTCCGAGGAGGAGGAGGAGGAGGAGGAGGAGGAGGAGGAGAACACTGGAGCCCTTTGACAGAGCAGCCGAGGCCCAAGAGCTGTTCCCCGGCAGCTTTGAGAGGAGCTTTAGAGAAAGAGGCAGATTTGAGTCCAGCTGTGTAAATGTTTTCAGTTTCACTGCTGAGGCCCTGATTTTGAGCGTGTGCCAAGACAAGCTGTGCTCAAGTTGTTTTTGGCAACGCCTCCCGGCTGAGGAATGTCAGCATCACTTTCAAAATATGATGGTTTGTAATTTCGACCACAGGATGAAATCTGAGCTGCTGCTGGGTGCCTTGCTATCATCTCATTACCTGCCCCCCGTCTCCCCTCCCACTTTCACCATGGCAGCCTATCCCCACTGCAGGCCATGGGATGGCCACATCCCCCTGGGCACATGCCTCAAGCTGCACACACCCATCTCCATAAGGGGCACCAGTGGTCCTTCCTGCACGCATCCCTTCCCCCTCCGTGGGAGAGCAGCTCTGGAGAAGGCAGGTTGCTTCACTGTGCACAGCACAAGGGCCTTTGCTAGGCTCACTCGAGGCATCTGTGCAATTATCCCATTAGGTAAAGCTGGCTCTTCAAGCATTATACCCCCTCCCAAAGAATCCTGGGAACTATAGTTTAAGGTGCTGGGTATTGTAGGTCTGTGAGAGGTAAACTATAGTCCTCAGGGTTCTTGGGGGTGGAGGAGATGTGCTTTGGATGCACAATACGTTTTCAGCCCATCTGTACATTCCTGGCTGTGCTGACTGTAGCCTCATCCACACTGGAGCTTAATGTAGATTTGAAGGTGCCTAGAGGCTTGTGCCTATAGGGGTTCTTTTGGTGGCATCCACGCAACATCTTCCTCATCCAAGTGGCAGCCTGCAATTCTGTGGGGTAACCAGCTTCATATAACAAACATGCTTATCCTAATTAATGCATGAAGGGGTTAATGCCATAGAGTAAGCTGTCTTGCCAGGCTTAGCTAGGTCACTCCCCCTCACCTTGGGGAAAAGGTAATCAAGCCTATTGTTCACCCTCAGTCTACCTGAGACGCTCAGCATGTAAAGAGATCTGAGCGGCTTGCTCCAAGCTCAGACCTCGTGGCTCTTACAAACCCCTCCTCAATTCCTATACCGATAATTATTTAGGAACTTTCACCACTGTAACTAAGCCAAGTTTTACTGCCTCTGCAACTTTTTTTGAATGCTGTATGGAAAAACACATGGTTCTGACCATTGGAGAGTTTGTAAGTAAACCATTTTTACTTACAAACCATTTTAAACCTACCAAGCGTGTGGTCTTTTTCTTTGCTGAGGGAAGAGGCAACTATTTGGGAACTCACAAGGGCATATTTTAAAGGTTTAACAGTCTATATTTGCACTGCACATAGTGTGATTTTAAATCTCTGCTGGGGTTCTCTCACCAAAGAGTACTTGCCACAATCCTGGATCTTGGCTCCCAGGAAATTCTTTTTATATCTTTTTTTCCCTTGCCACCAACAAATTCCCTCACCCGCTCAAATCCAAATTTTCTCAATCTGTGGATAATCCAAGAAGAGAAGTGAATCCAATAGAGAATTGCTGTGTGGTGAGAGCCGGTGTGGTGTAGTGGTTAAGAGCGGTAGTCTCCTAATCTGGGGAACCGGGTTCGCGTCTCCGCTCCTCCACATGCAGCTGCTGGGTGACCTTGGGCCAGTCACACTTCTTTGAAGTCTCTCAGCCCCACTCACCTCACAGAGTGTTTGTTGTGGGGGAGGAAGGGAAAGGAGAATGTTAGCCGCTTTGAGACTCCTGAAGGGGAGTGAAAGGCGGGATATCAAATCCAAACTCTTCTTCTTCTTCTTCTGTGGGCACATGTGGAGTGAGCAGGGCTTTCTACAAGGGTGGCAACATTTTGCTGGGTGCGTTCTATCCCTCCCCGCCCCCCGCCCCAGCCAGGTGGCCCTTCTTGACCCATTGTTGGTGAAGGCACATTCCCTGTGCTTTTATTTTTAAAACAGCTCCTTTGCACAGAAGTGCTTTTGCACAAAACAGCTGTATTAAAATAAAAAAATTAAATTTCCCCTTGCAGGCACAGAAGGTGGGAAAGGAAGTGGCAGCATTTGGTGCAAACAATTGCAGAGGCTTGCCTGTCTTGGAGGAACATGTGTTTTCAACCATTTTTTTCACTGTTATTTCATGCCAATCTGAGATATCAAGAAATATGTGTTTCAAAAACAATAAAAAATGTTTTCAAGGTGCACATGCCAAGTTAAATAAGTCCCCATGTGCATGCACACAACGGACATCAGCGTGGGCAGGGACGTACTCATGGAGGGGACACAGCGTCAAAAAATCAAGTACTACCTACTAGCAGGGAGGGGAATACCCTGGTTTAGACCTGGCAGTGCTCATGGGGAGATGAAGGCCCACCAATGGCCACATGGGAACAGTGACCCAGGTGTGCACAAATGCCCTGGTGTAGCATAGTGACCATGAGGTATTTGGGCCCTGTAAATGATGACACTGCGGGAGGCAGTGGAAGACAGGGGTGCCTGGCGTGCTCTGGTCCAGGGGGTCACGAAGAGTCAGACACTACTCAACGACTAAACAACAACAAATGATGACATTGAGTTATTTCTACCAGAGCCAGAAGTCCACTGGTGTTTTTTGTACACAGAGATGATCCCCACAGAAGAAAGGAGGAGTATATTCCCTGCCGCATACCTTTGTTTTTCTCGCTTTACATGTATGTGGTTTGACCATCAAGGAAATTTCCAAGAAATCCTGGGAGAGGTTCCCTGAAGGAGTTCTCCAGAATCCTTTCTTTGAATTCCCTAGTCCTCCCACAGAACCACAGCTTGCAGAATCCCTTGGGTGGGGTGGTGAGGGTTGTGAACTAGGATGTCAGTTGCATTTGAAAGTGGGGTGCAGGCAGGCTCCGAGGATCAGGGAGCCAGGGGGGTCCTGATGTTGCTTGCTCCTCCTGCACTGGAGATGACCGTCACTTGGGAAGAGACACAAGGAGGAGGGATCAGGGAGGCTTGCTACTCACAGGGTACACAAGCCTTTTAATTTAGGCAATGGGGATTTTCACCACTGTCCTCCATCATTTATGGCAGCAGCAGGTGGGGACTTGGAGCAAACGGATCTGGGTTATCCTCTGAGCTGGCTGTGGAGAGACTTCTTAATAGAGAGATCCCAGCCTCCGTGCTGCGTCTGTGCTTAGGTTCATAAGCCATGCCAGAGCGATCGTCTTCCCATCCACCCCACTGGGATAAGCCTCTGAATGTGCTCTTGTTCACGAAACAAATATGCAAGGAGCAGGCAGCCTCTATAAATAGGACTAGGCATATGGGAATGCTGGATCTGAGAGGTGGGTGACGGCCCTGTGACAGCTGCCCTTCGCTCTTTGGTAAGGCAGCGGGAAATGGGATCCCACACCCTGGGTCCTGTTCGAGGCTAGAGAAACGGCAGCGGGAAGGAATTCTAATCTGTACCCCCTTTCCTTGGTTCAACCAAAAGCCGCGATCTACTTTCCGCTCCCACCACACGCTCCCCACCATGTCCTTGCATGAGACGCCTGACTGAGAGGCCTCAGAAGCAGTGGAGGAGGCATGTTCTGGCCATCTGGAGTTCTGGAGAAGACCCTCGTCGCCTTCGACCCAGCCACTTTGTAGCGTGGGGATTTGGTGGGAGGGGGTGTGGTGTGCATGGAGGGAGATGAGAAAAGCAGGGGGGGTGCGGGGAGCTTCGTATGTGAAGAGGCGCTTGGGGCATCCGTTGTGGGTGACAACACAAATAGAGGTGCAAGGCTGTCCCATGCTAGCGCTGCAGCTTCTGCCTGGCACTGCCACCTTCTCCACCTTCACCTGCCCTCTTTTTTGATGTTCAAAATATGGCAACTCTTAATATCTTAATATATATATATATTTCTCACCTACCTGGAGATTTAAGCCCTCCACCTGCCACCTGGAGGGGACCAGGCAAACCTGAAGGTTTCAAGTCAGACCTGGCGGTCTGGCTACCCTAACCCTGGCAGGTGGTAGGCTGAAGGCACACAGCGATGGATCCAGGGATCATGTTGTGCTGGGTTTATGGCCCACACGCCATGGAACAGGGCCTTGGCAGCTGCCTGACTGGCTCTGGCACTTGCAGATTCTCCCTCTTGTCAAGCTGAAGGGCAGCAGCTCATCTGGGGCTGCCCAGTCATTCTATTCCTACGTGCAGAACCCCCTCCCCAAGAGGGAGGAGGCCCCTGCTGAGGGTATGTGCGAGGGTCGATATTGTCAGTCAAAAGACAATGATAAACCATGACATAAAAATGAGGAAACATTTATTTATTTATTTGTGTGTTTATGGAGTTTTCAGAAATAACAGAGTACAAAGAACAGAAACAAAGAGCAACAACTGCATGAAGCACATTCTTCTGATGCATTGAGGGTTCAGAACACTCCTCAGCATAGACATCACAGAGAAATAGATTTTGCCAAGGGACATTTTTGGAAGCCAGAGTTGCAGATCGATAAGGCAGCCTCACCACACAGAGACAAGTGTCGTTGCAAATCTATTGACGCTTGGTTCTAATCCTAACCTTTTAAATCTCCATACACAGTTAGGAAATTCTGTTAAATTCAGCGAATTTAACCATAGACCTAAGGCTGTAGAACCAAAGCTTCTCTGTTGCCAGCAGTCAGGGCCAAGGAGGCCAGGGCAGCCCATCCTGTTTTGCCACCTGAGGCAAAATGGGAAGCATAGAACCATAGAGCTGGAAATACCCCTAAGGGTCATCTACTCCAACCCCCTGCATTGCAGGAATATGCAGCTGCCCCAAACCTGCAGCCTTGGCATTATTAGCATCACACGCTAACCAACTGAGCAATCCAGGTGCTGCTGCCCTGCGCCAAAGTATCCCTCACCTGGGTTGTGTGGCTGCGGCAGCAGAGCAATGGCGGGTTCTGGTGAGCTCTCGCAAGCTCTCGCTGAGCTCTTGCAACATCTCATGGAGCACAGGAGATACAGTGAAAGGTTGGCGAGAATGCGTGAGATGCTGGTGAGATCTGGCTGGAAGCCAGCCGTGGCGGAGGCGGGCACTGGTGGGGGTGCTGCCTCTTGGTGTCCTGCCTCCTGAGGCTGCTGCCTCAGCCCACCTCATGGATGGGTTATGTGGGAATGTTCAGGGAGGCAGGAGAGGATATATTGTTTATTAATATCCTTCCTAACTTGTGTTAGCAAGTTCTATAACTTAGCAGAGTTTTAACATTCCCCTTTAAACACACAGGAGTGTTTAAATAATACGTCTGGCTCGAATATTGATGGACTGGCAGGAGATCAGGCTAATTCTCATAATCCCTAGGAGCCCATCCTTGAGTTATTTGCATTGGAGTCTCCCTACGAAAGACCACCCACTTTTTCCAGCAGCGCTTCGGCCCTTGGATGTGGCCAGGCAGGAGCAGAGTCCGAGTCCGAGGAGGAGGAGGAGGAGGAGGAGGAGGAGGAGGAGGAGGAGGAGGAGGAGAACACTGGAGCCCTTTGACAGAGCCAGGAGTGGCACCAACTTACGCACGAGCAACCTCTAAATTTATTACACTAATGTTTAGGTGGAATCTTCTTTCTTGTAGTTTGGATCCATTGCTCCGTGTCCGCTTCTCTGGAGCAGCAGAAAACAACCTTTCTCCCTCCTCTATGTGACATCCTTTTATATATTCGAACATGGCTATCATATCACCCCTTAACCTCCTCTTCTCCAGGCTAAACATGCCCAGCTCCCTTAGCCGCTCCTCATAAGGCATCGTTTCCAGGCCTTTGACCATTTGGGTTGCCCTCCTCTGGACACGTTCCAGTTTGTCAGTGTCCTTCTTGAACTGTGGTGTCCAGAACTGGACACAGTACTCCAGGTGAGGTCTGACCAGAGCAGAATACAGTGGCACTATTACTTCCCTTGATCTAGATGCTATACTCCTATTGATGCAGCCCAGAATTGCATTGGCTTTTTTAGCTGCCGCGTCACACTGTTGGCTCATGCCAAGTTTGTGGTCAACCAAGACTCCTAGATCCTTTTCGCATGTACTGCTCTCAAGCCAGGTGTCACCCATCTTGTATTTGTGCCTCTCATATTTTTTGCCCAAGTGCAATGCTTTACATTTCTCCCTGTTAAAATTCATCTTGTTTGTTTTGGCCCAGTTCTCTAAATCTGTCAAGGTCGTTTTGAAGTGTGATCCTGTCCTCTGGGGTGTTAGCCACCCCTCCCAGTTTGGTGTCATCTGCAAATTTGATCAGGATGCCCTTGAGTCCATCATCCAAGTCGTTGATAAAGATGTTGAATAAGACTGGGCCCAAGACAGAACCCTGTGGCACCCCACTAGTCACTCTTCTCCAGGATGAAGAGGAACCATTGATGAGCACCCTTTGGGTTCGGTCAGTCAGCCAGTTACAAATCCACTGAGTGGTAGCATAGTCAAGACCGCATTTTACCAGCTTCTTTACAAGAATATCATGGGGCACCTTGTCAAATGCCTTGCTGAAATCAAGGTAGGCTACATCCACTGCGTTCCCTTCATCTACCAGGCTTGTAATTCTGTCAAAAAACGAGATCAGGTTAGTCTGACATGACTTATTTTTCAGAAATCCATGCTGACTATTGGTGATCACAGCATTCCTTTCTAGGTGCTCACAGACTGTTTGCTTAATGATCTGCTCCAGAATCTTCCCTGGTATTGATGTCAGACTGACTGGGCGGTAATTATTTGGGTCCTCTCTTTTCCCCTTTTTGAAAATAGGGACAACATTTGCCCTCCTCCAGTCTGCCGGGACTTTGCCTGTTCTCCAGGAATTCTCAAAGATGACTGCCAGTGGTTCTGAGATCACATCTGCCAGTTCTTTTAATACTCTTGGATGCAGTTCATCTGGCCCTGGAGACTTGAATACATCTAAACTAGCCAAGTATTCTTGTACTATCTCCTTAGTTATTCTGGGCTGTGTTTCCTCTGCTGAATCATTTGCTCCAAATTCTTCAGGTCGGGCATTGTTTTCTTTATCGGAGAAGACTGAGGCAAAGAAGGCATTGAGGAGTTCAGCCCTTTCTCTGTCCCCTGTTTGCATTTCACCATCTTCTCCTCTGAGTGACTCCACTGTTTCTTTGTTCTTCCTTTTGCTACGAACATACCCATAAAAGCCTTTTTTGTTGCTTTTAACCTCTCTAGCAAGCCTGAGTTCATTCTGTGCTTTAGCTTTTCTGACTTTGTGTCTACACATGCTGGCTATATGTTTGAATTCCTCTTTGGTGGTTTCCCCCCTTTCCCATTTTTTGTACACATCCTTTTTAAATCTTAACTCAGTTAAAAGTTCTTTAGATAGCCACCCTGGCTTCTTTAGGCACCTTCCATGTTTCCGTCTGAATGGTATTGCCTGAAGTTGTGCTTTTACTATCTCCCTCTTAACAAACTCCCAGCCATCATGAACTCCCTTTCCTTTTAGTATTACTGTCCATGGGATCTCACCCAGCACTTCCCTAAGTTTTATGAAGTCGGCTTTCTTAAAGTCAAGAAATTGAGTCCTAGTATGCTTGGCTGCTCCCTTCCGCTGTATAGTAAACTTCAGAAGAGCATGATCACTCGCGCCTAATGATCCTTCCACTTCTACCCCACTAACCAGGTCATCAGCATTGGTTAGGACCAGATCTAAAATGGCTGTTCCTCTTGTTGCTTCTCCCACTTTCTGGACAATGAAGTTGTCTGCAAGGCCAGTGAGGAATCTGTTTGACCTTATGCTCTTGGCTGAGTTTGACATCCAACAAATATCCGGGTAATTGAAGTCCCCCATTACTACTATCTCCCTTCCTTTTGCATGCTTGGCCATCTGTTCCAGGAAGGCATCATCTATGTCCTCCGTTTTGCTTGGGGATCTATAGTAAACTCCCACAATGAGGTCACTGTTATTCTTCTCTCCCTTAATTTTGACCCAAATGCTCTCACTTTGGCTTTGAGGTTCTAAATCTTGGATCTCTTCACAGGTATACACATCCCTGACATATAACGCCACACCTCCTCCTTTCTTGTCTGGTCTGTTTCTCTGAAATAGATTGTATCCCCCCATTATTACATTCCAATCGTGGGACTTATCCCACCAGGTTTCAGTGATGCCTATTATGTCATATTTAGTTTGCTGTACCAAGAGCTCAAGCTCATCTTGTTTATTTCCCATGCTTTGCGCATTAGTGTACAGACATTGAAGTCCATTAATCATTCCCCCGTGTCTCTTATTTAAGGATTTTTTCCTCCCACCACTAGGTCTGCGTGCTGTCTCGCAAACTGCCAGCGTGGAGCCGAACCAAGCCGCTTCAGAGGGTCTGCCAGACTTACCACAGGCTCAGACCACTCCACTTGCGGAGGCTCCACCCACAGCAGCGGATCCAGGGGACTTGGTTTCAACGCCACCTAGGGTCGCACCACAGCCTCAGCAAGAATTGTGTGGCCCCCCGGACTTGGCTACCAGTCCCCGGAGGTCTGGCAGAGTTTCCAAGCGCCCAACTTTTTTAAAGGACTGTTGTTGGACATGTTGGTCTAAGTATGTGAAATGTAACCAATATGCTTTTGTGCCTACTTGAACCATTACGTGTAGTGCTGTATATAAGGAAACCATTACGATTGTAACTAACACCTTATCTCGGTGGGGAGGGGTGTTATGTACTGAAGTTCTCACCCTGGGCCAGCAGGGGGATACTGTAGATAGTTATGCAAATGAAGGATCGAAAGTGACGTTCAGTGATTGGATAGTTTGTATACAAATGAAGGATCGAAAGTGACGTCAGTGATTGGATAGTTTTAGAAAATGGCAACAGTTACATTGTTCTGGAGCTCTATATAAGCAGGCTGACTGAGCTCCTCAGTCAGTTCTGTTCCAGCTTACAAATAAAGAGCTGCTTTGGAAGAATCGCTGTGTCAGTGCAATTTATTCAGAACAAAAGGCCAAACTAATAGTTAACAATGTGGTGACAGAGGAATTTAAGATAGAGAAAGGGACATGACAAGGCTGCCCAATTTCCCCATTGTTGTTTATTTCGGTCCTGGAGGTTTTGCTAAATATGATTAGAAGGGACCGTTTGATTAAAGGTATACAGGTCGGAGCTAAACAGTACAAATTGAAAGCTTTTGCAGATGATTTGGTATTGACGTTACAGGAGCCAGAAACTAGTACTAAAAGAGTATTAGAAATGATTCAGGAATTTGGTCATGTGGCAGGATTTAAGTTGAACAAGTTAAAAACTAAGGTGCTTGAGAAAAATCTAACACCGATTGAGAAAGAGAGGTTTCAGAAGGAGACAGGTTTAACATTGGTTAAGAAAGTAAAATACTTGGGGGTTAATATGACTGCTAAGAATTTAAACCTATTTAAAGACAATTATGAGAAATGTTGGTCAGAAGTGAAAAAGGATTTAGAGATATGGTCAAACTTGAAGCTTTCCTTGTTAGGCCGAATTGCTGTTATAAAGATGAATGTATTGCCAAGAATGTTATTTTTGTTTCAATCATTGCAAATCTTAGATAAAATGGATTGTTTCAAGAAGTGGCAGAGAGACATCTCTAGATTTGTCTGGCAGGGCAAGAAGCCCAGAATAAAATTTAAAATATTAACTGATGCAAAGGACAGAGGCGGATTTGCCCTGCCAGACCTTAAACTTTATTATGAATCAGCAGCATTCTGCTGGTTGAAAGAATGGCTGCTTCTTGAGAACACAGACATTTTGGACTTAGAAGGTTTCAACAATGTTTTTGGGTGGCATGCATATTTGTGGTATGACAAGGTTAAAGCACATAAAGCATTAAAAAACCATATTGTCAGGAAAGCATTGTTAAATGTCTGGATAAGATATAAGGACTTACTGGAAAATAAAACCCCTAGGTGGCTGTCACCGATGGAAGCAAAGGCTCAGAAAAGGCTCAATATGGAGGCCAAATGGCCGAAATATTGGGAAATTTTGGAACAAGAAGGAGACAAATTGAAATTGCAGAGCTTTGAAAAATTAAAAGATAAAGTGCGAGACTGGCTTCATTACTATCAGATAATGGAGGCATATAATTTGGACAAGAGAATTGGCTTCCAGGTGGAAAAATCAAAATTGGAAACAGAATTGTTAGAACCCAATACTAAGATTTTGTCAAGAATGTATAACTTGTTGTTGAAATGGAATACTCAGGATGAAACTGTGAAATCTGCTATGATTAAATGGGCACAAGATCTAGGATATAATATTATGTTTCCTGACTGGGAACAGTTGTGGACCACAGGTATGAAATTTACGGCATGTAATGCCCTAAGAGAGAATATTATGAAAATGATATACAGGTGGTACATGACACCAGTCAAGCTTGCAAAAATTTACCATGTGCCCGATAATAAATGCTGGAAATGTAAGGAAAATGAAGGTACTTTCTTTCACCTTTGGTGGACGTGCCCAAAGATTAAGGCTTTCTGGGAAATGATATATAATGAATTGAAAAAGGTATTTAAATATACCTTCTTGAAGAAACCAGAGGCCTTTCTCCTGGGCACAGTCGGCCAAAGAAGGATAGAACTTTCTTTATGTATGCCACAACAGCAGCAAGAATACTCATTGCAAAGTATTGGAAGACACAAGACCTACCCACCTTGGAAGAATGGCAGATGAAGGTGATGGACTATATGGAATTGGCGGAAATGCCTGGCAGAATCCAAGACCAGGGAGAAGAGTCGATGGAGGAAGATTGGAAAAAGTTTAAAGATTATCTACAGAAATATTGTAAAATTAATGGATGTTAGAAGGATGTTGGATAGAAACTAAGTGGTCTTTAGCTGAAAGGTTACAAGGGAAAATGAAAAAAGGGTTTATTATGCAATATGTAAAAATATAAAATTACAATATTTTTATGACTAATGATTAGGATACCAAAAGAGGGGAGGGATTTGCTGAATGAAATAACTGAACTGGAATACAAAAAAGGAAGGTGTGAGGAGGTCCTGGAAATAAGCAAATGAAGGTTAAGTAATGGAAGGAAAGAATTGTTTTTAAATGTTTTTACTTTGTGTTTCTTCTTTTTTGTGTGTGTTTTGTAAAACCTTGAAAATCTTAATAAATAGCTTATAAAAAAAAAGGAAGAATCGCTGTTTCGTCTGATATGTTCGCCCACAACTTAACATATATCTCCATAAGACGGAACTACAAACAACTATTAAAGAAGAGAAAGCAAAAAGCCGAGCGAATCGCATGGCAAAGCCTGGTCAAGGCTTCACACGAGAAAGACCAAACTTGCTTTTGGCATACCATATCTGGCCTACTGGACCAGGAGTGTAACGGACCCATTTGTACCGTTGAACCCCAAGAGTGGATCCGATACTTTCAATCATTGTTTTATGATAAGGAAGCTCAGTTTAACAAGCCAAGCGTGCAACCAGAGGTTTCACCTCACTGACCACCTGTAACCACAGAGGAAGTAGAGAATTTGATCGCACAGCTAAAAAACAACAAGGCCCCTGGCATAGATTATATTCCCGCAGAACTTCTGAAGACCAACACTGGGTGGTGGGACCCCCTGCTGGCGACAGTACTCTCCCACATTGATTCAACAGGCTTATTTCCTGAAGGGTGGGCCAAGGCGATAATCATCCCAATTTATAAAAAGGGCCCCACATCGGACCCGGTGAGTTACAGACCTATTAGTCTTTTACCTATACCTAGCAAATTATCTGCAAAACACCTCTATATCAAATTAACCAGTTGGATGGACACTGAGGCTATCTTGGCGGAGGAGCAAGCTGGATTTAGGCAAGGCAGATCTACCATAGATCACTGTTTTGTCTTAGCACATCTTATTGACAAATGCGCCAAGAAAACCCATGGGGTCTTATATGCAGCCTTCATTGATTTGAAGGCTGCCTTTGATTCAGTTTCACAAGTAAGACTCTGGGCTAAATTGAATACATCCAGTATAGATAAAAGATTATTATTTTTATTTAATGGCCTATATAAAGATACTGTGTTGTACATAAGATCCTCCACAAATGGCCAACTCATAGGCCCTGTACCAGCCACCAAGGGGGTTAATAAAGGCTGCATTTTAGCCCAAGCATTATTTAACCTATATATCAATGACATGGTTAAAAGCTTAACATCTCCGGAGTTCCATGCTCCTAAATTGGCCACAAAACCAATCTCAGTGCTCTTATATGCTGATGATGCGGTCCTCCTATCCTGAACAAAAATAGGCCTAAAAAGGTTGATAGGAGAATTCTCAGCATACTGCAGGAGAGAACAGCTGGTGGTAAACTATCAGAAAACCAAAGTCATGGGTTTCGCAAGGAAACATAGATTACATAGCTGGAGCATGGACAACCACCCAATTGAGCAGGTTAAAGCCTTTAAATACCTGGGCATAGTCTTCCAGGCATCGGGGTCATGGGATGTACACCAAAAATGTGTTAAAGAAAAAGCAGCCCAAAGTGCTAAGATGCTTTCCCGTTTTTTCCATACGAAGGGTGGCAAATACATCCCAGCAGCCCTAGAAGTTTTCCAAGCCAAATCTTTGGCGCAGATACTTTACGGGGCCCAAATTTGGACAGGTAATCATTGCAGTATTCTTGAAACTGTCCAATCCAAATTTTCAAGGCAGATTTTTTTCTGTACCACCTTGTGTCCCGAATGCAGCATTACGACTGGAGGCAAGTCTTCCCTCTGTAGAAGCTCGGTCCTGGCAAAGAACTCTTAATTATTGGCTCTGTCTAAATCTAAATCCTCCCGGTCTACTGCCCTTAGTGACACAAGACCCCCATAAAAGTGTGTGGTCCAAAATTGTGCACCAAAAATTCATCTCCTGCGGACTCCACCCACATCAGCTTCTCATGATGGGCTTTATTAAAGCAAAAAGGCTAATTGGACAGTGTCTGAAGGACATAGAGCAACAGAATAATCTGGCCATTATAAAGAAACTCTGTCCTTGGTATGCCTTCTTTTCCCCCTCTCAGTTTGATTCCCTGGCACCATATTTGTATAAATTAACTATCCCAAAATACAGACGTGCCTTCACACTGGCCAGATTGGATGTGATGCCCTCTTCCATACTTGAGGGCAGATACCAAAAGATTCCAACTGAGAAACGACTCTGCCTCTGTGGAGATGGCAATCTGGAAACAGTGGCTCATGCTCTCCTGTCCTGCCCCCTTTATAAAGATCTGAGGAATGAGATCATTACCCCACACCTACTTACCATCCCAGGCCGCCCATCTGCGGCCACATTGTTCTTTCTGTTATCAGATCAAAAGGATCAGACAACAGCAAAGGTTGCTAGGTTTATCAAGGGTGCAGTGAGATTAAGGGCCACTATCTGAATGATAATCTTGGTCATTTGGGAATACTCAGGATGAAACGGTGAAATCTGCTATGATTAAATGGGCACAAGACGTTGGATATAACATAATGATGGCTGACTGGGAACAGTTGTGGACCACAGGTATGAAGTTTACGGCATGTAATGCCTTAAGAGAGAATATTATGAAAATGATATACAGGTGGTACATGACACCAGTCAAGCTTGCAAAAATCTATCACTTGCCCGATAATAAATGTTGGAAATGTAAAGAAACTGAAGGTACATTCTTTCACCTTTGGTGGATGTGCCCAAGGATTAAGGCTTTCTGGGAGATGATTTATAATGAAATGAAAAGGGTATTTAAATATACCTTTCTGAAGAAACCAGAGGCCTTTCTCCTGGGCATGGTCGGCCAATTGGTGCCAAAGAAGGACAGAACTTTCTTTATGTATGCCACAACAGCAGCAAGAATACTTATTGCAAAGTATTGGAAGACACAAGACCTACCCACTCTGGAAGAATGGCAGATGAAGGTGATGGACTACATGGAATTGGCGGAAATGACTGGCAGAATCCGAGACCAGGGAGAAGAGTCGGTGGAAGAAGATTGGAAGAAATTTAAAGACTATTTACAGAAATATTGTAAAATTAATGAATGTTAGAATGATGTTGGAATGAAGCTAGGTGGTTTAAGCAGTAATGCTATAAAGGTGTATGTAAAAAAGGATTGATAACAGATGAAAATTTAAAGTTATAGTATATTAAGTTAAAGAATCATGAAAAAACAAAGAGGGAAAGAAATTGCTGACTTAACTAATTGAACTGGAATACAAAAAAGGGAGGTATGAGGAGGTCAGGGAAACAAGGATATGAATGTAAGTTATGGAAAGATTGATCCATTTTTCTTTTTCTTTTCCCCCCCTTTTTATTTTGTATTTTGTATTTTCTTGTATTTTTATCTTTTGTTTTTGTGTAATTCTTGTATTCTCTGAAACTTTAATAAATATCATTAAAAAAAAAAGATAATCTTGGTCATTTGGTTGTCCTTTTTACCCATTGTTGTCTTTTTAATTGTATATATTGCTTGTTTTATGTTGCTATGGCCGTTGGCTAATGAGAATAAAGTTTATCTATCTAAGCTTCTTCCAGCCCTAGGCAACACCACTGACTAGGATAAGCCTTTCTCAACCTTGGGTCCCCAGATGTTCTTGAACTACAACTCCCATCATCCCTGACCACTGGTCATGCTGACTAGGAATGATGGGAGTTGTAGTCCAACAACATCTGGGGACCCAAGGCTGAGAAAGGCTGGACTAGGTAGATCAATGGCCTGGTGTGGTATAAGCAGCTCCTTAAGACCCAAAGGGAGAGATGGGATTTCATTTTTAAAAATATTTATGATTTTCAATTTTATACATTTCAATAATTTTACAATCATTTTTACATTCCAAAACTTGACTTACTTCCCCCTCTTTTTGTGGTTCTTAAATTTATTTTTAATATTTTCTGCATATCCAAATTAACTTAATTTGCTCATTTATTCATCTACTTTAAATATATACTCTGATAAAACTGCAGGTTATTACAATAATCCTTTCAATGCTCTTATCTGTTTAAAGTTTGTTTGTAAATATTCAATAAACCATTTCCATTCTTTTATAAAAAGCTTGTTATCTTGATTTCTTATTTTCCCCCAGTAAGTTTCACCATGTTCCATAAGTTTTTGTATCCATCCTTTTTTTGCTGGGACTTCTTCTTTCCATTTTTGGAGAGATGAGATTTCAACCCTCGTTTCCTGGACTCAAGTCACAGGGGACACAGAAACAGGGGACACAGAAAGGGCTGAACTCCTCAATGCCTTCTTTGCCTCAGTCTTCTCCGATAAAGAAAACAATGCCCAACCTGAAGAATTTGGAGCAAATGATTCAGCAGAGGAAACACAGCCCAGAATAACTAAGGAGATAGTACAAGAATACTTGGCTAGTCTAGATGTATTCAAGTCTCCAGGGCCAGATGAACTGCATCCAAGAGTATTAAAAGAACAGGCAGATGTGATCTCAGAACCACTGGCAGTCATCTTTGAGAATTCCTGGAGAAGAGGCAAAGTCCCGGCAGACTGGAGGAGGGCAAATGTTGTCCCTATTTTCAAAAAGGGGAAAAGAGAGGACCCAAATAATTACCGCCCAGTCAGTCTGACATCAATACCAGGGAAGATTCTGGAGCAGATCATTAAGCAAACAGTCTGTGAGCACCTAGAAAGGAATGCTGTGATCACCAATAGTCAGCATGGATTTCTGAAAAATAAGTCATGTCAGACTAACCTGATCTCGTTTTTGACAGAATTACAAGCCTGGTAGATGAAGGGAACGCAGTGGATGTAGCCTACCTTGATTTCAGCAAGGCATTTGACAAGGTGCCCCATGATATTCTTGTAAAGAAGCTGGTAAAATGCGGTCTTGACTATGCTTCCACTCAGTGGATTTGTAACTGGCTGACTGACCGAACCCAAAGGGTGCTCATCAATGGTTCCTCTTCATCCTGGAGAAGAGTGACTAGAGGGGTGCCACAGGGTTCTGTCTTGGGCCTGGTCTTATTCAACATCTTTATCAACGACTTGGATGATGGACTCAAGGGCATCCTGATCAAATTTGCAGATGACACCAAACTGGGAGGGGTGGCTAACACCCCAGAGGACAGGATCACACTTCAAAATGACCTTGACAGATTAGAGAACTGGGCCAAAACAAACAAGATGAATTTTAACAGGGAGAAATGTAAAGTATTGCACTTGGGCAAAAAAATGAGAGGCACAAATACAAGATGGGGGACACCTGGCTTGAGAGCAGTACATGTGAAAAGGATCTAGGAGTCTTGGTTGACCACAAACTTGACATGAGCCAACAGTGTGACGCGGCAGCTAAAAAGCCAATGCAATTCTGGGCTGCATCAATAGGAGTATAGCATCTAGATCAAGGGAAGTAATAGTGCCACTGTATTCTGCTCTGGTCAGACCTCACCTGGAGTACTTTGTCCAGTTCTGGGCACCACAGTTCAAGAAGGACACTGACAAACTGGAACGTGTCCAGAGGAGGGCAACCCAAATGGTCAAAGGCCTGGAAACGATGCCTTATGAGGAACGGTTAAGGGAGCTGGGCATGTTTAGCCTGGAGAAGAGGAGGTTAAGGGGTGATATGATAGCCATGTTCAAATATATAAAAGGATGTCACATAGAGGAGGGAGAAAGGTTGTTTTCTGCTGCTCCAGAGAAGCGGACACGGAGCAATGGAACCAAACTACAAGAAAGAAGATTCCACCTAAACATTAGGAAGAACTTCCTGACAGTAAGAGCTGTTCGACAGTGGAATTTGCTGCCAAGGAGTGTGGTGGAGTCTCCTTCTTTGGAGGTCTTTAAGCAGAGGCTTGACAACCATATGTCAGGAGTGCTCTGATGGTGTTTCCTGCTTGGCAGGGGGTTGGACTCGATGGCCCTTGTGGTCTCTTCCAACTCTATGATTCTATGATTCTATGATTCTAGGTGGAGCCTCACCATCTGTAAGTGTCTCTTCTGGAGCCACGAACACAGTTGGGGGCACCACAGTAGTGTCCAAGTCCCCAACCCTGCACCTAAGCTGGTCTATGTGCCGGCGCCACAAGCGTCCGTCTTCGAGTGCCACCTGGTATGAGCAAGGTCCAGTGACTCCCACTACTGTGGCTGGCACCCAAGGAATGTCCCCCACATAGTTCCGGGCAAAGACCTGGTTTCCTGGAACAAATGACCGTGGTGCGTTGGCACAGCCTGGGGGTTCGGCCACGACAAAGTCCGGGTGCAGCCGGTCGAGCGTGGACTTGAGGCGGCGGCCCATAAGCAGCTCAGCAGGACTCCGCCCTGTGGCCGCATGAGGGGTGATGTGTTGCACGAACAAGTATTCGGCGACCCGCTCGTGCCAATCTCCCCGGTCCAGGCGCGCCAGTGCCTCTTTGCCGAGCGCACCATTCTCTCCGCTTGCCCATTGCTGGATGGATGAAATGTGGTGGAGGGCATCAGGACCACCTCCAGCCATTTGGAATAGGCATCCACCACTACCATAAAGGTCCGGCAGTGAAAGGGGCCGGCCAGATCGATGTGCACCCTCGACCAGGGTGTCTTGGGCGTCTCCAAGGTGTGTCCCTTAGCTGCCGGTGGCGCAGGCCTCAATTCTTGGCACGCTTGACAGGCAGAAACCCAGGCAGTGATGGCATTGTCCATGTTAGGCCACCAGACGTAACACCGAGCCAACGCCTTCATTTTGACAATTCCCGGGTGGCCAACGTGCAGAGCCTCCAGGGCACGTTGACGGAGTCTTTGGGGAATCACGACGCGGTCTCCCCACAGCAGACAGCCGCGATGAGCCGAGAGTTCATGTTGTCTGCTTGCGAAGGGCTGGAACTCTGATGCAAAAGGCCCTTGTGGCCACCCCCTCCACACCCAGTTGAGCACACGGCTGATGGTGCGATCCTGGGCAGATGCGAAGGCCACAGTGGCAGCCGATACAGGCGCTGCCGGAAGATCCTCAATCAGGAGGAGCGATGAAGCAGGAGCCGGGTCTTCCACAAACGCTGGAAGAGGGCAACGGCTGAGGGCGTCGGCAGGGCCCATTGATTTCCCCGGGCGGTGGACGAGCCGGTAGTGGTAGGCAGCCAGGAAAACAGTCCATCGCAGCATGCGTGGCGAGAGGACCGGTGGAGTTGGTCGATCACCGGCAAGGAGGCCCAGGAGCAGTTTGTGGTCGGTGATGAGGTCGAAAGTCCTGCCATAGAGGTATTCATGGAACCTCTTCACTCCAGCCACAAGTGCCAGTGCCTCCTTGTCGAGCTGGCTGTAATTCCGTTCCGTTGACGATAGCGTCCTGGAAAAGTAAGCGAGCGGTGCTTCTCTTCCGTCTGGAAAACGGTGACTAAGGACAGCGCCGATGCCAAAAGGTGAGGCGTCGCAGGCAAGGACCAGCGGCCTGGCTTCACTGTACTGTACCAGCACACTGTCCGATGAAAGAAGAGCCTTGACCGCGTTGAAGGCTGCCGTCTCCCGATGACCCCAGGACCAAGGCGTCTTTGTGCTGAGGAGTCGGTGAAGAGGCTCAGCCACCGTGGCTTTGTGGGGCAGGAACATGTTATAAAAGTTCAGCAGCCCCAGGAACGCCTGCAACTCCGTCTTGTTCTTTGGGATGGGGGCCTGCTGGATAGCGCGGATCTTGGATGTGGTCGGGTGAAGGCAGGAGGCGTTGATAAGATAGCCCAGGAACTCCACCTGTGGAACGACGATCTGGCACTTCTCCCTCTTTACCTTGAGTCCGGCCTCCTGGAACCTGGTCAGCATGGCATGGAGGTGCCCGAACAGCTGCTGGTGTGAGTCTGCGGACACCAAGACGTCATCAAAATATGGTACCACGCCCGGAAGCCCTTGCAGGAGACGCTCCACGCCCGGAAGCCCATGCAGGAGACGCTTTGGAAGATGCCAGGAGCCACACTCACCCCGAACTGCAACCGGTGGCAATGGAATGCCCCCCAGTGGGTGACGATCGTCTGGGCTTCAGCAGTGGCATCATCGACGGGCAGTTGTTGATAGGCTTGGGCAAGGTCTAGCTTAGCGAAGACCTTACCCTCACCCAGGGAATGCAGCAGGTGTTGGACAACAGGAACCGGATAAGCATGCTGCTGAAGTGCCTTGTTGATCGTGCACTTGTAGTCAGCGCAGATTCTCACCAACCCGTCTGGCTTGACAGGCGTGACGATGGGGGTTTCCCACTTGGCGTGGTCAACCGGCTCCAAAACTCCTTGGGCGATCAGCTTGTCCAGTTGTTCGTCCACCTTAGCCTTGAGAGCAAAGGGAACCCGGCGTGGATCAAGGCTAAAGGAGATGGGCGTACCTGTATATTGCCCCAAAGTGCCGTCAAAAACCTCGGCAAAGGCTTTGACCAGACCCTCAGTCTCTGCGTTAGTGATGCAGTTGATGCCGGTGACTTCCAGGCCGAGGGCATCAAACCAGTCTAGCCCTAGGAGGCTTGGCCGCTGACCTTCGACCACCACCAGTCGGAGCAGGCCCGAAAAATCCTTGAAGGCGATCCGGAACCGGCCAACGCCTACCACGGGAATGCCGTTTCCCTGGTAGTCTCTCAGGTGTATGCGGTGAGAGTCGAGTTGCCTTTTGGACACTCTGGGTACCAGTCTTTTGATGGTGCTCCAAGACACGATGGACAGGGCAGACCCGGTGTCGATCTCCATGTCACATGGAGCTCCTTCAATGAGCACTGTGACGTTCAGCTTGCGTCGCGTAGGCGAGTCGGTTTGGCCAATCGTGGTTCCAGACGAGCAGCGGCAGTTGGTGAGAGCGAAACAGCTTTCCTTGGCAGACTGGAGTGAAGACTTGGACTTGCGAGTTGGTGAAGGGGGGGTGTAAGACGGAGCTGACCGGCAGACCTTAGCGATGTGGCCCCTTCTGGAACACGTCCGACAGATGGCGTCTCTGAATCGACACTTGGCACGGGAATGGTTGCCTCCACAGCCAGCACATTCCGGTTGGCCCTTGGACTTCTGTTGGAACTTCCTGCGCTCCCGCTTTGTCTGGTGCATGTCATCGTCTTCACTGGAGGATGCCTCATCACTGCCGGCCTCTTCGTGATGCACTGGAACTGGCTTCCTAGCAAGACGCGGGTTGCTGGCCTTGCAGATCTCCTGGGCGGAGCGTTCGGCAGCTTCCGAGGCCACAGCCTCCTCAATGGCTTTCTGCAGCGTGAGGTCTTGCTTGGCGAGGAGATGCCGTTGCAGATGGATGTCCCGGACCCCGCAGACGATTCGATCCATCAGGGCATCGTCTAAGTCTCGGAACTCACAGTGCATTGCAGCCTGTCGGAGGGCGGTGGTGTAGTTGTTGATTGACTCCCCCTCTGCCTGGTTCCGGTGGTAAAACGCATGGCGGGCAGCAATCTTGGACTGCTTTGGCGCGTAGTGGTTGCAGAGCTTCTCTTGGATCGTGTCCCATGGTGTTGCCTGGACTGCTTCAGGCGCAACCAATGCTCGGGCCGTCTCAAACACCTCAGGCCCACAGAGGCTGAGGAATAGGCCCCGCTTCCGCTCCTGTGATACTGCTGTCAGCTCGTTGGCTTGGAGGTAGCAGTCAAACCGAGCGAGGTAGGAGTCCCATGATTCAGAGGCTGGCGCAAACGGCGGTAGAGGCACAAGTGAAGCCATGATTCCGATGCCGGCGTGAAGGGCGATGGATGGAACACCGTGCTCTAGCCAGAACCGTCAGCTCTGAATTGGTTCTGTTCAGTGATTTTGCTCAGTGATTCAGCTCAGTGATTCAGCTCAGTTCAGAGGATGGCCGCATCTGGCTGTGCTCTGATGTCCATCGATCCCATCCTCGTCGCCAGTGTTAAGTTGTGGGTGAACATATCAGACGACACAGCGATTCTTCCAAAGCAGCTCTTTATTTGTAAGCTGGAACAGAACTGACTGAGGAGCTCAGTCAGCCTGCTTATATAGAGCTCCAGAACAATGTAACTGTTGCCATTTTCTAAAACTATCCAATCACTGAACGTCACTTTCAATCCTTCATTTGCATACAAACTATCCAATCACTGAACGTCACTTTCGATCCTTCATTTGCATAACTATCTACAGTATCCCCCTGCTGGCCCAGGGTGAGAACTTCAGTACATAACAATATATGTGGTAAATAAAGGGGGTGTCCCAGTATTCTTTTATTTGCGATAAATTGTTCTCAGATGCTTCCTTGTTTGTCCGCACTCTGCATCAAATCAGCTTGCTAGATCCTGTGCCCTCTTTGTGGCTGTATTCTGTATTGCAGATGATAATTTTGTTTTCAGCTTTTCTATAAGTATCTTAAAAAGCTCTAGGACCACAGCCGTGGAGTTAGTCGAAACAATAGCAGAATGTATATTCTTTAGCTCCACTGATTGAAGGAGGAGGATTAAGTTTGCATTCAGCATGGGGGACCATTTAATTCTTTTGGGAGCTGGTATACCCAAATTCACCGTGGGAGTATATTGTGGATTGGCAATGGGTTTTTCGAAAGGTGGGCCTTCAAACACTAAAGTTAGAGCGAGATGGTCACTGTCAGTATTATGTCCCACTTGGAACTTTGTGACAAAACCATACGCGAATCTTGAGATTAGAATATAATCTATAACGCTTCCGCCAGCCTTGGAAAAATGTGTGTATTCCCCAGGTCGGTCCCCCTCTTTGATGCTGTTTAATATCAACAGTTCCCTCCGTTATGCGACCAGGGCTTGCTAAGCAGAGCCTTGAAAAGTTGCATCTGCGATCTTTAGAGAAGCGTGTAACACCTATGTCTGTCTGGCTATCCTGGTCCAGGAACTGGATATACTGAGTATATGGACAGTTATCATCTGTTCCCATTCAGGCATTGAAGTCTCCGCCAATAACGACTGGAGCAGTAGGGTAGGTAGATTCGAGAGGCTCTCGGAAGGCCTCTAAATCTGCCCATGCGGCCTTAATTGCCGATTTTTTTTGACGGGGGGGGGAATAGACATTAACCAGCACTAAAGAGGCTCTCTTGAGTTTGAGTAGGGCGGCCGTTGCTAGTGAGTTGCAGCTGGGTAAAGGTATTATGGAGTGTTCTAGCTTTGTGGGGACAAAGCAGGCTAAGCCTGCACAGGGCCTGCCTCCTCTCAAGGATGGGGTGGCAGGTAAAGAATGGCTACTATGGCCATTGAGCAATATGGAATCACTATGCCATGTCTCCTGAAGACAAATAATATCAAATTGCTTAAAATAGGACATTAAATGTTGATTGTTTTTCTTTGCACGCCATCCTGCGATATTCCAGGATAGCAGCTTTAGGCCCCCGTCCCTCCGTAATACTGATTCGTCATTTCTACCCTGTCCAGCAACACTTTTGTGTCTAAAAAAGCACTCCCATTGGCTCTATCGATGGGTGTCTGCTTAATGAGGTTACAATGTACCTCAGTTTTCTGCATCTTAGGAATGGGGTGTGGAGTTGGAGGTGTAGGTAAGGTAACTAAGCCCTGATCTCGGGGGTTTGTCTTCCTGATTTGATCCTGCCTTGTCATACATCAATGGGGGCTGCGGTTGGAGATCCGGATCTAGGCATTTAAATGAGCCTCCCACCTTCCTCTTATCCACTAGGCAGTTAGGGGAGATGGGCCACAAATGTAGTCCCTCCGATGTCTCATTGTGTTCGTTCTTCTTGACCAGTCTGCTTCTGAGTATGTCTAGTCTATCCAAGATTTTGTTTTGAGCTGAGGGCTGCAATGACCAGAAACGGTTTATTAAGGTGTGTTCTTCCGCTGAAACGGAGTCCTCGCTGTCTCTTGTAGGAGGTTGAACATCAAGGCGGGATGTATCTTTCATTTTTAAAGTTGATGGATCTTGTTTGTGATGGTCCAGCTGGCTCATTTGGGATCTGTTTTGTTGTTTAGATTTTTCCCCTTTTTGATCCTCTGTTCCTAGCATCCTATCACCCCTGGGAGCCACGAGGGGAGCTATTGGTGCTCTGTTTTCAAAAATTCTTAGTAGCTCTATCCTTTCGTTTTTAAATAAATTTCTTGCTCTAAAAATAAAATTTACCAGGTTATGATCTAGAAATGTGATCAGAGTTCGTACCGAGTGATCGTCTTGATATAATTACTCTATGGCAACTGTGTCAGATGTTTTTACCACCCCTGGTAAAATACCTGGTAAAATAACCAAGTTCCATCATAGAATCATAGAATCATAGAGTTGGAAGAGACCACAAGGGCCATCGAGTCCAACCCCCTGCCAAGCAGGAAACACCATCAGAGCACTCCTGACATATGGTTGTCAAGTCTCTGCTTAAAGACCTCCAAAGAAGGAGACTCCACCACACTCCTTGGCAGCAAATTCCACTGTCGAACAGCTCTTACTGTCAGGAAGTTCTTCCTAATGTTTAGGTGGAATCTTCTTTCTTGTAGTTTGGATCCATTGCTCCGTGTCCGCTTCTCTGGAGCAGCAGAAAACAACCTTTCTCCCTCCTCTATGTGACATCCTTTTATATATTTGAACATGGCTGTCATATCACCCCTTAACCTCCTCTTCTCCAGGCTAAACATGCCCAGCTCTCTTAGCCGTTCCTCATAAGGCATCGTTTCCAGGCCTTTGACCATTTGGGTTGCCCTCCTCTGGACACGTTCCAGTTTGTCAGTGTCCTTCTTGAACTGTGGTGCCCAGAACTGGACACAGTACTCCAGGTGAGGTCTGACCAGAGCAGAATACAGTGGCACTATTACTTCCCTTGATCTAGATGCTATACTCCTATTGATGCAGCCCAGAATTGCATTGGCTTTTTACCTGCCGCGTCACACTGTTGGCTCATGTCAAGTTTGTGGTCAACCAAGACTCCTAGATCCTTTTCACATGTACTGCTCTCAAGCCAGGTGTCCCCCATCTTGTATTTGTGCCTCTCATTTTTTTGCCCAAGTGCAATACTTTACATTTCTCCCTGTTAAAATTCATCTTGTTTGTTTTGGCCCAGTTCTCTAATCTGTCAAGGTCGTTTTGAAGTGTGATCCTGTCCTCTGGGGTGTTAGCCACCCCTCCCAATTTGGTGTCATCTGCAAATTTGATCAGGATGCCCTTGAGTCCATCATCCAAGTCGTTGATAAAGATGTTGAATAAGACCGGGCCCAAGACAGAACCCTGTGGCACCCCACTAGTCACTCTTCTCCAGGATGAAGAGGAACCATTGATGAGCACCCTTTGGGTTCGGTCAGTCAGCCAGTTACAAATCCACTGAGTGGTAGCATAGTCAAGACCGCATTTTACCAGCTTCTTTACAAGAATATTATGAGGCACCTTGTCAAATGCCTTGCTGAAATCAAGGTAGGCTACATCCACTGCGTTCCCTTCATCTACCAGGCTTGTAATTCTGTCAAAAACGAGATCAGGTTAGTCTGACATGACTTATTTTTCAGAAATCCATGCTGACTATTGGTGATCACAGCATTCCTTTCTAGGTGCTCACAGACTGTTTGCTTAATGATCTGCTCCAGAATCTTCCCTGGTATTGATGTCAGACTGACTGGGCGGTAATTATTTGGGTCCTCTCTTTTCCCCTTTTTGAAAATAGGGACAACATTTGCCCTCCTCCAGTCTGCTGGGACTTCGCCTGTTCTCCAGGAATTCTCAAAGATGACTGCCAGTGGTTCTGAGATCACATCTGCCTGTTCTTTTAATACTCTTGGATGCAGTTCATCTGGCCCTGGAGACTTGAATACATCTAAACTAGCCAAGTATTCTTGTACTATCTCCTTAGTTATTCTGGGCTGTGTTTCCTCTGCTTTTGTCTTAAATGTGCCTGCTTTGCATGTCTCTTTAATATCTCGTGAGTTGGCTTTATTTGTTTCAGTTGTGGCAAGAGATGATAATAGGTTAAAAAGTTTCTGCCACTGCTTTTTACAGGTGTGGTAAATTATCCTGGACATCCTTAAATTTTTAATGTTTTTGCTTTTCTTCGTCTTGGGCTCTGATCTCCCCCCCCTCCATGGTTTGTTGCTATGTAATGTGTGATTTATAGCATCTGGACCAGAGGAATTGTTCGTTTTGTGGTCAGATGCTCTTTCATGTTGCTTGAAGTTGTCCACTAGGGTCAAGAGGAGCCCGTTTGTTATCGCTGGAAGAGGCTTTGAAACTGGGACCTTCATGCAAAGCAGCTGTACTACTGAACTAGTACCCTTCCAGCTGACCCACTGGATGCTTTTGAG